CCTGTGCTCGTCGTGCGGTGGCATGAAGGCGGGCATCGGGTACTGGGCCAGATCGTCGCGCTCCTGGCGCGCGTACGGGAACGTGGCCCTGCGAGCGAGGCTGGCGTCCTGCTGCTGCATCGGCTGGATGCGTGGGAGCTGCTGCTGCTGGTGCCAGTCGTGGCCGTAGTTGAGGTCCATCTGCGGCTGCTCGTGCGGCAGCTCGTGCTCGTACAGCTCGCCCAGGAGCGAACCCTGCTGCTGCGGCGCCTGCTGGGAATAATGCATCTGATTGGCCTGCCAGTGCGGGAGGCCCTCTGGGGGGATGCCGTGCTGGTGGTCGTCGTGCATGAGGTAGTGGTCGAACGCGGGCTTTGCCGGTGCAGGCGCCAACTCGAGCTGGTAGATGGACGGGGTCTGGGGCAGGGAGGCCGGGGAGGCAGAGGCAGAGTCGTTTGGCGAGGGAGTGCGGGTGTAGGCGTCCAAGAGGAAAGGCGCGTCCATCGGAAGGCTCAGGATTGAAGAGGCCAGGCGCGTCAGGGCGGCGCAGTGGGTCGGCGTGTAGGTAAAGCGCTGAGTCAACAAACGAACAAAACGAAGGTGTAAACGACACGAAATATATGAAAAGAGCAGCAGCAGCAGACGGACGGGGCACCCAAACGACTCTCTGAAGCGCACGACCCCGGTTTTTAACCTTCCCTATCGCGAATCTGGTCAAGCTCCCCACGTGTCTCCCCGCCCAATAATGGCTCCGCGCCTGTTCTTCCTCGATGGCCTTCTCTCCCTCTAATCGCCTTCCCAACGCCTCTTCCCGAATCCACCCCATCAGCCGCCCCAGACATGCTGTGCGCCCGTCCCGTTTCGTATCCCCTTTACCCACACTGTATAAAGAAACACGAACCGCAAAAAAGGCATCGAGCCCCGCGCGCCGGCTCCCGGGCTCCCCCGCTTATCGCACCCAGCCCGTGCCTAAACCGTAAGCCCCCCTTCCGCGCCTGCCCTCCGAGTCGAGAGCACCTCGAAAGTCCGCGGGCCTTACGTCTCCAAGACGTGTTGCGCTAACCCAGACGCCCGATGACGTCCCCCTCCTCCTCCTCATGATCCTCTGCCCCTACACCTGCCCACGCCGCGCGCGTCGTCCGGCGCAGCCCCTCCTTCGCCGCACACAAAGCCCAACGTGACGCAATGCCATACGACGCGCACGCGCCCTGCACGCGCGGTCCGCTTTGTGGGACGACGTGCGCGATCGGCTGTTTGCCCGCTTGTTGACGTTACCCTTCCACTCCTCCCTTGACATGGATCATTCACAATGCGTACAATACAATCCCTCTTGTCTTTCCCTTTGGCAATTGTACTTCGCTTCAAAGCTGTCCCTTTCGCTGCGCCCGACGTGGGAGCGCCGGTCGCGTCTGCGCGGGTCACCCTGGCCTGCGACCGGTCTGTGGACCTTCGCTTGGCCCAAGGCGGTCTCTTCGATTCCCAGTCGCAAGGCATGGAAGACCTTCGGCTCTATAAGCTTTCGGTGCCCCTTCCTTCCATACAGCACACACGAAGTTTTGAAATTCTGCATCGACGCACATGGTCCCGAGCTCATGTAGACACCTGCACGTGTGCACGCGTTATATGTGGTGGTCTAAAAGGCTCTCTCTTTCTACGCCGACGCACCGAGCGCGTGCGCGCCGATCGGGCAAGTTTAAGGACCGCTCGATATATGCTCCAATGGCCCGTATGTCCGATGGGGATCTGCTGAGCTCCCGCCTCGTGAAGTTCACGTACGACTCCCGACGCGACGATAGCTTGAGCCGCCGGGACGCGATCAACGCTAAACGTTTATCTGGACTTCCCGCTCGTCGGGAGAACTGCGCGTTCGTGGCGGCGGGCGTGGATGAGATCGCGCCCGACGGCAGCCCCATTGCCGAGATACAGAGGACATCTTACAGCTCCTCGCCAGCTGTCACCAATAGCAACATCATGAATCACGATCGCGACGTCGATACTTCCGTCCGCCACAGCCTCAGGCTAACTACGACTTTGCTTCCGCCAGAGTGACAGTCGACTCATCCCACACCAATAGAGCAGCATGGCGACAACAGCGCCGCGGAGCGGAAGAAAACGCGCAAAAAGGCTATCGCGATGGATGGAGATATGAGAGTGAGACACGGTCGAGATGACGAGCTGACGGCGGAGGGATGACGAGCGGGGATACCGGCTGCAAGGCGCGAGGTTGGCTGTTGGGCAATTGGGCGGGCCCGGAGATAAGAAACATACGCGGAGCGCAGCGCGCGATTCGTCGACGGCTGATACGTTGGCCGGTTATCTTAACCGTCTGTGAGCGGGACTGGATCATCCACCTCCGCGGCGATCCTAGATGGGTTTGTGGCACTTCGCCGCCATCAACGCGCGTTGGAACAGGGTCGACGGGGATCAAGACCGTCGAGCTTCAGCGGTCGGGTCCGTGTATCGTGCTCTCACCGTCGGGGTACGGGTGTATGCACACTCCGAAGCGGTCATGGTATTGACGAGCTTCTTGAGGGATGCGCGTTTTGAAGGTTTTGGCTGGGTATCCAAGATATCCATTTTCAGCAGCGGCGAGCGTGCATCTCTCGCGGTACTCGGTCTTGCCGAGTGTGCGCAGCCAGTGCGGGCAGCGGTGCGCGAATATGTGGACGCATATATGCGCGTGTTACAGATGTATGCAAGGTGCATTGCTCCGGTGCCCGAATGCAACCCGAATGCTGACCTCGCTCGTGTAGATCATCTTCCATATCTTGTTCAAGATGTGAGCATGGGTACATCTGCGTGTCCGCGCATATCTTCCGTAACAACGTCTCTGCTTGAGATGTAAGTACCATGGGTGGAAGTCGCGACCTCTCGCGAACACCGTCGTCCCGATACACGAACCGAGTGCCACCTCCTCATCCTCAAGCATATCCTGCTGACCTCTGTATGCGCGTAAGTTACCGAACATTCACTAGTGTCGTCGTCAACGAGATCATAACAGAAAACACAGAGCCCCCCTCAACTGTTTATCCATCCTGCCAATGACCAAGTTTACGGCGCATCTAGTCAACACTTGAGACTCTTCACTAGTCTAGTAGTACACATCCCCACCAACGGTACCTCGCTCAGGCCCTCGCAAACCGCCGGACGCACCCATCCATCTCTGATGCTCCTCGAGCGCAGCTTTGACTTGGTGCGCGTCGTGGCGTTCTTTCATTTAGCGGTACCGTAAGTCGTAACTAGTCGGATCTTTCACTTCGCCGACTGCATACAGATGCTCTGTGAGAGAATCGGCGTAGATCTACTCCAGTACGCACCTTCAGGCTTCGAAGTGTATGCATGGTCCTTTTGAGCGATCTGTGTCGGGATAGCTTCATCATGCGCATGAGCTGATCTAAGGCGTCTTGTTTTCTATATGCGACGGTGGCTTGAATCGAGAACATATACACTTGGTCAGGGATGCGCATTGTGCACTAGACTAACGGGACAATACACTGGCTGGAAGGATCTATAGTTCGGGTGCTTCGTGCGTGTGTGGAAAGAGGTAGATCTAGATCAGATGCGGACGGCGTGGCCCGAGCATCATCGCGACCAGCTTCTCGCGCTGCTTGTCGCTGTTCATCAAGGGGCTACGTAGGCACCAGTGTATACGATGTGCCGATGCATTGACCCTGACTGTATTGGGCGGCGTATTGTCTGTAGGGATGAGAATCGTGTCGCTTGGGCTTGGTGGACGGTGGACCTCGACCTCCTGCTTTGTTCTCATGCCGGTCAGGTTCAGCGAGCTTTCGGTGTACGCTCGGGCCTCGGATACGATGACCAGATGGGATGATGCAATGCTATCACGTGTGCGTGCGACTGGATAGCTGACGGGGCAGATAACGTACGCTATACGTGAATAGCGAGGCATGGATCATTCGATGTGTCGAGGAGACGGAGCTATCGGGGCTGGACGCGAGCTGAGCTTGAACACTCCAAGAGCCGTCGATGGCGCGCAACTTCCCCACCCAAGACTACATCTGCAAACCAGGAATCCCTTAGCAAGCGTTAACAACGCTCGGTAACGACGCTAACAGCAGTAAGAGCCGGTAAGCGTTTCAAACGACCGCAAGAGCTCCCGCCTCGTGTTGGAACCGCGCCGCCCACATTTTCGACCTTATCATTCCGTCCCTCCCTTCTATTGTTAGGCGCCATCCTGCTAGTCCTTGAAGATACCTCTCGGCCCATGCAATTTTGACGCGAAAAGACGTAGGGGCTGCGAGGATACAGGCGCCACAAACAAGCCACGACCCGCGCGAACCTTGTCGGCCATCGCCGAGGCACGCGAGAGTCACGCTAACTAGACGCTTACTGGCCGTTTGAAACGCTTAACGGTTCTTACCGTCGTTATCGTCGTTACCGAGCGTTACTAACGCTTGTTAAGAGATTCCTGGTTTGCAGATGGCCCTACACCGCACCACCATCTCCGATCCCGGTCGGAGTGATAGACCAACGGACTCTGTGGACGCTGGACAGCATCTGCCATTCGGTCTCAGGAGCAGGGCGCTCTGCGGGCGCCTGCTGGAGATGACTCTTCATCGCGCCTAGTCGACATCGCCACAACATGCCATCAGCACATCCACGTCTCATCGACTGTTGTGCGCAGGCGTAAAGTTCAAGATCTATAGAGCTAGCTTGGCTGGTTAGACCCAGGCACTCCATTCAAATGCATACATTACATGCTCCCTGTTCCGCGGACTGGGAGATTCAGATTCAATTGTAGCGCAGCTGTGTGAGTGGAGAGATTCGCGCGCCCTGATCCGAGCTCGACAGGCGTTTGGGCACGTATCGATTACATTCGGGCGCAGGAGAGGTGCAAGCATCTGTGCGGCTCGTGTCGAAGAGCTGTGGTCGAGATCCTCGGAAATCTTACGGGGTGTTTGTAGGGTTTCTGTTTACGCCGACTTTGCAGCGTTACACGTACGCGAAAGGGCGCGTGTAGGTGTCAGTGCCTTCGCGCGTGGCAATCTACATTCCTCGCAGATCCCGTCTTCGCCTCGAGGTCCTACATCCGGCTGGGAACCCTCCATAAGACGAAATTAATCGCTGTAGGGCGCCTCAGATCCTACCCAGCCGCGCGTCCATCCGGCAACTGCGTCTACAAATGCAATAGCGACTGCGACTGCGACTTGACTCTTTTCGCCAACTGAGCTGTAACACATACTTCGGGACTCCTGACCGAAGGTCCGGCCCTCAAACGAACTTGAGCATAGGGCGCAACGCAGACGCCCGAAGCAGATGCGGAGAGCACTATATGGGGCTATGCTCTGGGATTGTGAAACGTTCGGATAGACGCGCCATGAGGTGGAGAGTGGATCGAGAGGGCAAAAGAGCCCGAGACCAAAGCTCGTGAGCCAAGCCGTAGTGCAGGAGTGCTGTACGATGTGGCGTCGCGGCGAGCGGTCAAGTGAAGCGTGAGCTAGAGCCTATGCACCTTTCCGCTTCTCATGACGATCGGGATGACAAGATGAGGAGGCAGAGATTGTCGTGCGGATATGGATGGCGTGAGTACAGGTAGATGTGTTGCGGTAGGATCGCCGACTTCAAACGGCGCAGAGTGCTCTGCTCTGGTTTCAGATGTAACGACGGAAAGAACGAGGGATAGCAGTCCTCCACATAGACATATTTGCACCCGCGATACCCGCCTAAGTGCCATGGCGGTATGCGGAGTTCGGTGCTGCCGTAGATGATCCTATGTGAGAGTCGCATAATGAAGCTGACAGGAACAGACAACTTTTCCTTGACACGGATCTGCAACGCCAGTATATCTCAATGGGCCTGTTGCAAAGAGGCGCCGCCTTGAAGCGACGGCGCGGCGGCCTATGGCGGCTCCGACAGCTAGAGAAAGAAGTTATCAAACCTTCGTAATAGTTCTTGAGTTCACAACCGCGCAGTCCGGTTGTTACCAGCTGCTCTCCAGAGGGCGCGTCGCGAGCATAGATAGGTTAAGCAGAGAGATGCAAATTCAATACTGACAGGAACTGACACTGTCCCTTGACACTGAGGCAGATCCGACGCTCGCCTCAAGCATACCACCAGAGCAACGCCATCCACAAAGTTCCAGGAACCCACAACGTCCGCACCAGACCCCTCAAAACAGCCCTCGACACGCCCGAGCTCGCTCGTCCGTCCATCGCCGTCGGCAGCCGGAACCCAACACGGCGTCTCTGACCGCGAAACGTGAACGTCCATGCGAATTGACCCCCGGTCTGCGGTCCTCGGTCCGCGATGGGCACCCTCAATCGTGGTCGACGCGCCGCGACGGGCGATTGCATGGAAGGTGGTGCGTCGATGTCGGGTGAAAGTGCGCTTTGCATGGATGGAGCGAATGGGTCGAGCCAAGGTCCATTCCGGCCGCGCCGCGTTTGTTCGCTGTTGTAGTTCCCGGGTGCGGACCAGGAGTCTGCGCGTGAATGTGATTTCTCGCGCGGCGAGTCGGAGTAAGAGGGTAAGGGTGAATCGCTGGAGCGACCGCTTCGAAGATGCGCAATGACGATGAATATGCATTGGAGGATGAGAAAGGGGATGTATACGCTCTTCACGCCGGAATGTGTCGAGGGCAGCAAGCAGTAGTCCGTTGCGTGTTCGGGCGTGTTCTCGTGGGGTAACAAGCTTAGAAGTTGGAAGCCTGGACGCGTGATGTGTCGAGAAGGCGAGAAGGACTTTAGGGTGATCTCGTGCACCTCTCCTTTGCCGGACGGTAGCGCATGAGCAATGTCGCAGTAGTCCCGATTATCACCACTGTATAACAAAGTATCCTTCAGCATTGATACATAGGAGAGTATATCGTAAACAAACCTAAAGATGGCGACTGGACTGAGACTTTGTAGAAGGAAGCGAGTCGTATGCTTCTCGAGCGTCGTTTGCCATCCAGGTCCGGCACCTCTCTGTATGGACGTCCCTCTTTCACGCAGCGGTCCACACTTGCGAGACTCCGGGCGATGTAGTGGTATATGCGACAGCAAGACTACAGGCTCTGGCCGACCTTCCTCCGCGAGCCTCTTGACGAACTCAACCGGTCCATCCGGTAAGGGTGGCCATTGGTCAAACGGTATGCCTCGCGCCGCGCGAACGTAGTCTTCATCCACCAAGCCCGGAGCGTCGATTGCTACAAGCGAATGATTCGCGAGCAGATGACGTTGGTTGAGCGGCCCGAAGTACTTCACATAGCGTTTGTGGACGCGACTCGCGAAGGCGCTCGATACGCCTAGGCTGTGACGAGTGTCAGCGAGAGCCTTCATCTCGCGAGTATAATAGAGTTCTTACCCCACGTCCGAGTTGCCGGGGATGTATATCGTTTCGATACGAGGATCTAGCGGATACGTCGTATGGAAGTAGTCGACGTACTTCCTGAACCTACGCAAATCTCGCGTCTGCTCAGCTAGCACACAATTCATACTTGGATTGAACACTCACTCGTTATCCGATTCCATCGAGCTCCCCGCAGATAGAGTATCGCCAAGGAATACAACAACGTGCGGCCGCAAGCCAGTCGCGGCCGACCACGCCTTGCGCTGGTACACGTCACTCATAACGTTTCGCAAGGTCCTGGATCCACTGATAGGTGGTGGAACCTTGACGTCTGAAACGAGAAGGACGTGCGTAGGCTTCTCGAGCTTGAGTTTCTGTCGTACTGCCTTTCAGTGCCCCCGATCTCGGAGAACGACGAGCGTCACGGGCGCACCGACTTGGTAAAGACGCGGTCAGGCCATCTGCAGCCCACCAAGCTCCACCAGAAAGAGCCGATCTCGGTCCACAGGATCAGGAGTGCCCACAGTACGCGAAAGACTACAGTTGGTCGGTCTGGGGCTATGAGGCGCGCTAAACGCCCGCGGCTTCGGGGAGCGCGCATAGTGAGGGGCGAAGTCAAGTGTGCTCCTGGGTAAGCGGGGTTAAGCGACTGGGAAGAGGAGAGAGAGTGGGACGAACATGCGTCGCACGATGCCGACACGCGCTTCATCGTTGCCCACGCTGGCGAGCGCCGGGAGTGATCACATCTTCTCGAATGACTCTGCGGGCGGGAGAAGCCTGCTGTTGTTGAATATGGAAATCGCACTTTGATCATGTCGTGGTCATTCGCGAACCCACGCCGGACACGACACGGTCCGAGGCGCAGTGCGCGTCACCCAGCGCGTCTCCGCCGCCGAACATGCGTTCGAATATACACCACCATGGCCAGCATCCGCGCCGCACTCAGAAATGTCGCCGCCGCACCGCCCAAATTCTCAGACTTTCGTAAGAAGCGACGAGCTGCAGCGGCTAAGTCCGACGATGCTTCTGACTCTGCCGTAGCCTCTGGGCCATACGGGTTTCCTACACAATATCCCGCACATGTGTTCTTCCATGGCTTCCTCGTACTCGCGTCTCTTGCTATGCTTCCGCGCACAATATCACTGGATCCGCCACCAGAACAACTGAGGAATCTGGATAAGCCGCAATATCCGTTTATTGCTCCTTTGACTGCAAGACCGGAGATCACTGCTGCTTGGGTCGCGTTGGGGAACGCTGCGCTTGTTGGGTGGTGGTCTGGGTCAGTGAGGGAGTGGGTAAGGGAAGGAAAGATGGGGCTGAAGATGGTGGACCGGTTGAGGGACGAGACGCATCGAAAGGTTGGTATGCTGCTTTGGGTATCATTGTGGCGAGGGCTTGACAAAATGCGCAGGATATCTCGAATGCGGTAGTGTTCACGCTGTACGCTAGTCTCGCATACGCGTTTCTCATTGTACTATGCGGCGCACCACTGGCAACACACCTACCTCATACTCTATTGCTTGGCCTTAACCTGGCCATCTTGACTGTTCACGTACCTGCGTATGCGCTTGGCCCGCCGCGGTTACCGTTCAGGCTGCCCTTTGTTGGCTCGAAGCAAGATAGGCTGGATACTAATACGACACTCATACTTAACAACACTTGGGTTCGCTTATTTGCTGAGCGAGAGTACGTCAAATGCCTTGTCTGAATTGTGCGATGACTTACACCCCGGACAGCGCTCGATCTCCGAAAGAACGCGCTATTGCGTACCCCGCCTTTGGCGCTCTCACGGGCGCATGGCTTGGTGTTATTCCGATCGGACTGGACTGGGATAGGCCATGGCAGGTGAACGTCTCAAGTAGCTCTGGCTACAACATCCACTCATGCTACACTTGCTAGGCATATCCGCTCACACCCCTGATCGGTGCAGTCTTTGGCTACGTCTTCGGCGCCTTCTTTGCGGTCATAGTCAACATGACACTCTTTCTTGCTGCATACGACGTGGAGGATGACAAATCTACTGCATCTGCCGCAGGTTCGAAAGAGAAAGCAGGAGAGAGCGCTGGCAAGAAGAAGAGTGGCAAGAAGGTTAGCTTCAAGAAGGACTGAACGGACTAGATATCTTATAGCATATGTATTCCTGTACATCTGCTTTATCACTACCACCACTACAGGCTCTTCATATATCCTCGCAACATCATGCCTACCGGGGCAGAGTAGTAAACGCGTAGAGCCCGGCCAGAAAAGAACTCACGTGTGGCGCGTCGAGGCGCGTCATTACGATTATCACCGGCTGCTGTAAAGCTTAACGGCTACTTGTCTCTGACGACCACTGTCTTACTACACGAACTATCGCCTACCTGAGTCTCAGATATACCACTCACGAATGGACTTCTGGAGCTCTCCGATCAACCCTACGGAGGTTGCTGGTACACCGGCCGAGGCGCCGGTTCAGCAGCAGAGCTTGAACGATGAGGTTACCGAAGTGATGGGCTCGTTGAATAAGTTCTGGGGAGGGTTCAGGCGGCAGGTTGGTCCCATATGTATTTGTGAGCTTATGCATGGTGTACTGATGTATGTATAGAGCCAAGCTGCATTCGAGATTGCTCGCAAGGATCTAGGACAATACGCTACACAAGCCCAACAACAAGCAGCGCAGATCGCTTCCCAGGCCCAGACCCAAGCCCAACAACTCGCCGCACAAGCGCAGGAACAAGCCGCAAACATCGCCACCCAAGCCCAGCACGAGCTCAATCGATCACTAGGCTCGCCCACGACCGAAACACCACCAGAAGGCGCAGCCGACTCGACCGCGTCCTCGTCGTCCACTCTCCCCGCCGAACCGATATCTCCATCTTCCACGAACTTGTTCTCTCGTCTCCAGGCTTCGCTTCCGCCACACCTAGTGCAGACTTTGCAGTCTAACCTGCCCGAGAGTATTCGGCACGCGCCCGAACAGCTCAACCTCACCCAGCTCCGCAGCACTCTCCAACAAGTTCGCATCACGGACGCAACATCCCGCGGCGAAGAACTCCTTCACCGCGCCGGCGACTTTCTGACAAATGCCGTACGCGTTGTGCCGCCTTCGCCAGACGACAATGCGCCATCCGCCACAGCACAGGGCAAAGCGCGCGAGGCGGCCATCGGCACGCGCAAGGATGCGTTGATGCGCGCGTTGAGGACCAATCCTGCGATCTTAAAGGTCGACCCGTGCGCGGAGAAGAACTCAGAGGCGCTGTTCAGATCTTGGGAGGAGAAGCAGGTCACGAGCGCTGAAGGCGGTATCTTGGGTGCGGAGTGGAATGATAGGCGCGCGGCAGAGTTGAAGGATGCCGGCGAGGATCTGCTCGGGACGCGAGATGCACTGGGTACGTATCCAGGACTTTCAATCCATTTCCCACCATCGACGGGAATATCTGATTATCTTTTCGATGTTGTATAGTGCCGGGAGATATGAACGAGGAAACATTCTGGACACGGTACTTTTTCCGCGCGTACCAGATCGCGCAGGACGAAGAACGGCGGAAAGCACTGCTCGCCGGTACGTACCCCCATCCCACCCTTCAATCTAACAAAATCTGAACCTTGACAACCATCTCCATCACGCAGGATCGGCCGCGAATGATGAGGACTTCAGCTGGGAAGATGAAGAGGACTCGTCTTCCGCCCCATCTTCTCCCACCGACACACTCCGCGATCGGGCCGCATCTGTGACGAACGAGCAGAAGGCTGCGGCAGCGGCGGCGGCGACGCCCGTGGCGAAGAGCGCTCAGTTAACTGCTTCGGCGTCTACGAGTCCGCCGCAGAGTGAGGCGAGTTATGATATTGTTTCGGGGCATGTTAGTACTGCGAGTGAGGGCGCTGCACCAGTTGCGAAGGCGCCTGCGAAGGCGAAGGCAGATGCTGGGAAGGCTGAGTCTGATGAAGAGGACGAGGACGATGATGACGAGGAGGATGACGAGGAAGAAGAGAGCGAGGAGAGTGATTGGGAGTGAATGTCTCAAGATTATAATGTGTGAAGTGTATGTACAGTATTGCTCTGTAGCTGCCCGTCTTGGTTGCATCGCTATTGCCTTCTATGTATACGTCTCATATATCCAAGAACATGGAACCCAAGATAGTCATTATACCGCACGAAAGCGGCGTAGGTACAACGATGAAGCAGCGGTACAGTGATTAGTCTCGTGGTATGATGGTACAGCGTCAAAAGCGTCGGTGCGCAAGTTCGTGGGGGAAGGGCCCCGCGTTCATTCAATGCCCTCATTCTCGGCCTGTCATGACATTCTCCTCTGCTACACACGGAATCAGCATGGCTCCAAGAGGCGCGGATGTGATGTTGAACTCACTCTCCGTGCAGAACGGGCGGCTTCAACCGCAGCGGGTGGGAACTCGGCTGGCATGACCCATACAGGCCATTGCGACAACGCGAAGCTGAAGAACCCTAGCGCTGTCAAGGCATCAGTCAATGCACTTGCGCAGATACGAACAACTCTACGCACCTAGTCCAGTGTACTTCTCGTACGCAGTGTGGAAGTACACACTTGTCACGTATAGCGAGAATAGCCATAGGATTGACAACGCGCCCGATGCGACGACGGCTGTTTCGTGTACGATGTTCCAGTAGCGCTTGAATGCCAGTGATTGGCGTATTTGGTCACCGAGGAATAGGACAGAGAGCGTCAAGAGGAAGATGTGCCCTGAGACATCGTGTCCTCTCCTCAATCGCGGAATAGATGGTGCGGCCTCAAGTTCGAGCAGAGGTGCGGGGAATAGATGCGGGTGCGTATGGTGCGAGATCATCTCGCGCCTGAAGCAGTACTCGACGGGTACCGGCACGAAGAACCTATCGTCCACATGTACCACGCATTGTCCGCCCGTATAGTCGATGATGCGCTCAATGAGAGCTGGCCCGAAGAACCAGGATGTGAACGCGATCCAGCACATCATAGCCGTGGCGTACTGCAACGCGCGACGCGTCCATCGTTCTGGCGGAGTCGTCGCGAGCGCAGGCAGGAATACAGCTGACGTCCACGCCCACGCGTATTTCAAGAAGTACACATTCAGCGGGTTCTTCTTGGACGCGAAGAAGTGCGTGTCGGTTAGGTGGTGGGTGGTAGTGATGAATGGATCTGAAGTGTCCAGGAAAGTCGAGTTGAGGATCGAGTAGCGCGTTCCGTAGGATACGATTAGCGTGACTAGCAGAGCGAGGACTATGCGGATGTCGGGTATGCCCGCCATCTGGAGGCCGTGGACGTCGTGGAGGTTGGCTGCAAGACGCGTTTTGCGCGTGCGTTGCGGCGGTGCGCGCATAGTACACATGTTGACTGGAATGGACGCGTCATAACCCCAATCTGGGGTGTTCTGCTCGCGTCTTCGCCAGCTTGTCTTCGCCGCTTGTTCGGCGCCCGGGCGCGGTCCTGTCTCTTGCTATCACGAGCCGCGCCCAGTTTTGTCTCTTGCTATCGCCGAGTTGCGCTCGGTTTGTCATCTCTTGTTATCGCCGAGCCGCGCCTGGTTTTGTCTCCGGCCATCGCGAGCCGTGCCCGGTTTTGTCTCTTGCTATCACGAACCACGACTCCGAGTTTACTTTGACGCTCGCTCAGCTGACGTGTCCACTCCTGCGATGATACAGGACGTGGTCGCTGCGTTGGCGCATTCACGCCTATTCATGCGTGTGGGCATCACCAGCAACGCGACAGGTCGAAGTCGACTTCTGAGCTTGAAGCTTGAAGGCTGAACGGTTGAGATTCTTCAAATCTCAAATAGCCTCTACTCACTTCAAAGGCATCCCCGTACTTCTCGAGATGTTGTATGACTCGGGTTCTGATACCACCGGGGACACGGACATGTTGAGCCGAGAAGGCGTCGGGCCGGGATCGCTATAAGACCCACCTCACTTACGGCTTCTGGTGCTCAATCATCTCTCAGAACTGCCATACAGCCCGACATGTCCCAACCTGACTGGCAGACGGTTGTATCTGACAAGCGGGCGACCCTCGCTGCGAAGATACCTGTGGCCTGGCGACTCACGTCTATACCGCCAGTCGCCGAGCTTCGCAACTGCGTTGATCTCCCTCGCCAGTACATGAGCGAGCGGTTGTATGCTATCACAGAGACCACGGATGTCAGCATTCTCTTGAGCAAGATCGCGAGTGGCGAATACACGTCGTACGAGGTCACGGAGGCTTTCTGCCATCGCGCTGCGATTGCTCAACAGCTGGTAAGTGCAGACTCTATCGTTGCTTCGCCTCAATGGGAATACTCACTACTATGCACAGGTCAACTGTCTTACGGAGATCATGTTCGAAGAAGCCCTGCAACGAGCCAAGGAACTGGATGAGTACCTGCGCATCAACAAGGAGACCGTTGGTCCTCTGCACGGCCTGCCCATATCGCTCAAGGATTCCTTTCGCGTGAGAGGGACGAACTCTGCCATAGGACTCGTCTCTTTCTTGGACGTCTTGGACACAGCTGAATCGGAGTCGTTCATCGTGAAAGAGCTTCGTGAGCTCGGTGCTGTCATCTACGTGAAGACGACTACGCCCATTGCCGTCTCTGTACGTCGATCCCGCTCTGCGCGCTGTCATGTTATTGAACTAAACACCCTTCAGCACATTGACGGCTACAATAATATTACGGGTCAGACGCTCAACCCTGTGAATAGACTCATGTCGTCTGGAGGCTCTTCCGGTGGTAAGTCGTGCACCGAGTCAACGTGTTCCGTACTAATGTGACCCCAGGCGAGGGCGCTTTGAGCGCAATGCACGGAAGCATACTTGGTCTTTCGACTGACATCGGTAACTTCAGTCTCACCCTTACTATGCCTACCCGCAGATGCTTAGTCTTGGCTACAGGTGGTTCAAGCCGCGTTCCTGCTGCTGTCAATGGGGTGTATGGCCTTCGGACGTCGGTCGGTCGCCTTCCGTACCTTGGCGCTAGAGACCTGGTATGCGCGCATCCGACATGACTACCTGTATACAGTTCGACTGACGATCATATTCAGATCATCGGCAATATTCCACGTCCCTTTACCGTGGGACCAATGAGCGCGAAGCTATCGAACTTGGACCTCCTCACGCGAGTCATCCTATCTCGCAAGCCCTGGCTTCATGATCCGAACGTCGTCGAGCTGCCATGGAGAGCCGAGTCCTACGACGAGGTCGTGAGTCGAGGACGCGCTGGAGGACTGGTCTTCGGCATTATGATGTCTGATGGCGTTGTTACGCCACAACCTCCAGTATTGCGGGCTCTGAGAGAGCTTCGAGAACGACTCGAGGCGGCAGGACATGAGGCATGACCAGCTTCTTTGAGCCTATCCGGGCACGGATGATAATGATTCCTAGGTCATCCTGTGGGAGCCTCCTTCTCATGCTGAAGCGGCAAAAATTTCGGTGGGGTTTGATGCGTCATACATACCCTGCACGCTCAAACAACAGCACAGACCACTATCTTCTTCGCAGACGGCGGACAAGCCATTCACAAAGCGCTCGCATCATCAGGTGAACCCCTGAATCAACTCGTCAAGGTGAGCTTTGCACATAGACTCGTCGACCTCGTTACTCAGTCGCCACGAAGGATTACTTCGGTGAGACGCCGCGCCCGGAAGTATCGGCATCCGAGCTGTTCGCCGCAAATGAGAAACTGTACCAGTACCAGTCTGCGTACGCAAAGTACTGGAATGAGACCGCGAAGTCCACCAAGTCCGGTCGTCCGGTGGACTTTGTCTTGTTCCCTGCTTTTCCCGCGCCTTGCTTCCGGCCTGGTCAGTCTGGCCTCTACGTTGGTAAGCCCATCACGCAGCACGCTGCGAGTTCAGCTGAATACTCGGGTCCTTCAGGATACACGATCGTTGCAAATTGTCTCGACTACACAGCTGCAGTCGTGCCGGTCACCCGCGTTAACAAATCCGTTGATCTTCCCAACTCATCCTTCGTCGCTCTGAACGAACGCGACCAACTCGTCCAGTCTTTTTGTACGTGCTCCCAGTCGATGGGAGTTTCACTATCTCATGTCTCCATCTAGATGATCCGGGAGACTTCCATGGGTCACCCGTCGCAGTTCAAATCATGGGGCGCCGACTGCAGGAAGAGCAGGTGCTCGCGGCTGCGAGAGTGATCGATGAGCTTGTCCATACCAAATCTAGTACAGCAAGACCTCTGTGAACCACGTAAATACTTTTCAGTAGAGTATAATATTCTGCACACGCTCTCAGGTTCATCAAGGTACTAGAGCTTGCTTCTGTCACCGCACTCAAGGAAATTGATTACGAGTTCACGTGCTTCGCGGCGATGCGCGCGTAGTGTACGCATGTTGACTGGAATGGACGCGTCATAACCCCAATCTGGGACGTTCTGTTGGCGCGTCTTCGGTGCTCGGCTTTGTCTCTTGCTATCACGAGCCACGCTCGCTCAGCTGACGTGTCCATTTCGGCGACGATGGAGGACGTGGACGCTGCGTTGGCGAATTCACGCGTCTGGTCATCGCCAGCGACGCAAGGTCGCAGGTCAAAGTCGGCTCTTGAGCTTGAAGCTTGAAGCTTGAACGGCCCTCGAATAGCTTCCACTCCCTTGAATAAGAAGCATCCGCATAGTTCTCGAGGTGTTGTATGACTCAGGTTCTGATACCACCGGTCACTCGGACATGCTGAGCCGACAAGGTGTCAGGCCGGCGTCGCTATAAGAACCTACCCCTACTATAGCGCCGAGTGCTCAGTCATCGCTCACAACTACCTTACGGCCCAACATGTCCCAACCTGACTGGCAGACGATCGTCTCTGAGAAGCGGGCGACCCTCGCTGTGAAGATTCCTGAGGCCTGGCGTCTAACGTCTATCACATCGGCCACCGAGCTTCGCAACTGTGTTGACTTCCCTCGCCAGTACATGAACGAGCGGTCGTATGCTATCACTGAGATCACAGACATCATACTTCTCCTAAACAAGATTGCGGTTGGCCAATACACGTCGTACGAAGTTACTGAGGCCTTCTGTCATCGCGCTGCGATCGCTCAGCAACTGGTGGGTGCAAACTCTATCATCGCTCCGAACCAGACAAAGATGCTCACTAATTTGCGCAGGTCAACTGTCTTACTGAGATCATGTTTGAAGAAGCTCTGCAACGCGCCAAGGAGCTAGACGAGTATCTGCGCATCAACAAGAAGACAGTCGGACCTCTGCACGGCCTGCCCATATCGCTCAAGGACTCGTTTCGCGTAAGGGGGACGAGCTCAGCCATCGGGCTCGTCTCGTTTCTGGACGTCTTGGACACAGCTGGATCAGAGTCGCTCATCGTGAAAGAGCTTCGCGAGCTCGGGGCTATCATCTACGTGAAGACGACTACGCCCACTGCGGTCTCTGTACGTCGATCCCCATCGTGTGCTGTCATGATTTTGAACTGATAACTCGTCAGCACATTGACTGCCACAATAACATTACGGGTCAGACGCTCAGCCCTGTAAATAGACTCATGTCGTCTGCAGGCTCTTCCGGCGGTGAGTTGTACGATTGTGCCGGTCTGATCTGTACTGATGTGACATTAGGCGAGGGTGCTCTGAGTGCCATGCACGGAAGCATACTCGGTCTTTCGACTGACATTGGTACACTCTTAGCTCAAGCTTCCCTGTGTATACCTATACCCACTTGCTCTTGGATACAGGTGGATCAAGCCGCGTCCCTGCTGCTGTCAACGGCGTGTATGGGCTTCGCACGTCCATCGGCCGCCTTCCGTACCTCGGAGTCAGGGACCTAGTACGCGCGCATTCAATGGGTTCATCTGTGCGCAGTCTTACTAACCTACGTATCCAGATCGTCGGTAACCTCGCGCGCCCTTTCACCGTTGGACCTATGAGCGCAAACCTATCGAACCTCGACCTCCTTATGCGGGTCATTCTCACTCGCAAGCCCTGGCTACATGATCCCAAAGTCGTCGAGCTACCATGGCGAACCGGGTCCTATAATGAGGTCGTGGATCGAGGCCGCGCGGGAGGATTAGTCTTCGGTATCTTGATGTCTGATGGCGTTGTTACACCTCAACCTCCAGTATCGCGGGCTCTGAGAGAGCTTAAGGAGCGCCTTGAGGATGCAGGACATGAGGTATGACCTCATCTTCATTCGCAGATAAGTATGAAGGGTGATACTCTTTAGGTTATCCCTTGGGATCCTCCTTCTCATGCTGAAGCAGCAAAGATCTCGGTGGGCCTCGACGCTTCATGTTCAGTCATCGTTGCTCAAGCATCGGTACAGACCATTATCTTCACCGCAGACGGCGGGAAAACCATTCACAAAGCGCTCGCTTCAGCAGGTGAACCTCCGAACCAACTCGTTAAGGTGAGCTTTGTGCGCATAGACTCACCGCCGTCACTCAATCAACTCCCACGCAGGATTACTTCGGAGAGGCGCCGCGCCCGGAACTCTCGGCTTCCGAGCTGTTTGCCGCGAATGAAAGCCAATATCAGTACCAAGCAGCATACGCAAAGTACTGGAACGGGACAGCAAAGATCACAAAGTCCGGTCGCGCAGTGGACTTCGTTCTACTCCCTGCTTTTCCTGCACCATGTTTCCGGCCAGGTCAATCTGGTGTCTACACTGGTAAGCCAATCGCGCTGCACGCATGGATCTAAGCTAAATGCTTGAGCCCTTTAGGGTACACGGGTGTTGCAAACTGCCTAGACTACACAGCCGCTGTTCTGCCAGTCACACGCGTCGACAAGATCATCGATCTCCCCGACCCATCCTTCGTCGCTCTGAATAAACGCGACCAAATCGTTCAGTCTTTTTGTAGGTGCCTGCAGACGACGAGAGTTTCACTATCTTATGTCTTCATCTAGATGACCCGGAGGACTTTCATGGCTCGCCCATTGCGATTCAAATCATGGGGCGCCGGCTACAAGAGGAGCAGGTGCTTGCGGCTGCGAGGGTGATTGATGAGCTCGTCCGTTCTAGGTCTGGCACAACAAGCCTTTTGTGAGGTCTAGAACTACAGAAACTGCTTTCATCTATGAGCACGCCATTGTCTTCGTTGCTGGTGAGATCTCTATGAGTGGATATCCTGGCACTGCATGATTGTAACCCTAACCCAAACGCAACTCGTGCGCCACACCGGCTTTTATTTTCAGCACAAGAATAAATGAGAGAAGACTTCCGGGTACTTGCTACAAAAAGCATCATCAAGTGATCGTAGTCGAGCACGAGCGAATTCAAATATTAGATTGTAGGTATTTTTAGCAGGCATACAAGACGGTAGAAGACCTCAACTAGTACCACGCGTATTTTTGCGCCATTTCCGAGATCCCTGATGCAAATGAATGCTTTCATGTCGATCACGGTAACTTTGGGGTTGGACAGTTGCCTTCGCCGTCCCAGAAGAGGCGAGAAGGGAGATGTTTGCCTAGCACCTTGAGAGTGTCGTCCAAGAGACTGCACTTCCGGAGGAAGACGTTCCAATTTTCGCATCCACGTCCCCCATGGCAGGTTAAGCATAGTAGGAGGAGGTCGCCAACGGTAGTATGCCATCCGTAGGGTAATAGCGAGAGAGCCTTGACGTCCAGATCATTCTTCTCGCCCGTCGCATAGGAGATGCGTTCATTTAAGCGTATCTTGTACAGAACCAACTTCCGCAAGTTAGGGAGGAGAGCCAGGCGGTAAGTGCTTCGTAAAGACCGAAACATGTGTTTTGCGTAGATATTGTCGACCACGATAGTGTCAATTGTGGGCGCTGCGGCGAAGATGTCGGTAAAGCGTTGAGAAGTGAGCATGCAAGAATTCTTGACGGAGAACTGCGTTACTCTCCCGACTATGGGCACGGAGTCCAGCAGCAGAGGGAATATGGCACGACTACGGTCCACGGTGTCTTCGTCTTTGGTGTAACGAAGGCGATATTGGAAGATGAATCGCTTCGGTAGATCATGTCCATCGGAAGCTTGCGGCCCATTCAACGCCAATTCGCCAACGATCGTGAAGTTATGATCAAACTTGCACTCCACGGCGAGCTCGGTGAAACGGAAGTCGCGTGGCATGACGGAGAAGTGTGCATGAAGGATGGGCCGCAAAGTCGTCAGGTCCTGAAAGTCCATTTCGTGAATGGGACGCGTGGAAGGGGACCGATTGTGACACGATAGTATGATCTTGGCGGCGGGAGAAATGTTGATGGCGCGCAAGAGAAGAGGAAGATACGGCAGCTCGGCCGAGCACTCCACTATTCTGAGGTGTGCCAGGACGATAGATCGATCCGCTTGGCGAGGCGGAAGGACCCCCTCTCTGCTTCCAACCACGTCCATGATCAGCTCCTCTAGGTGAGGCAGCCTAGAAAGAGCATCCATCAGGGCTGAGAAGGCAAATGCGTTGATATCTAGTTGTCGAAGCTCGAGGACCGTCAAGGGACAAAGTGTCAAGGCGCGGTGTAGGTGAAGAAGGCCCTCGCCGTTGAGATCGAATCTGAGTGTATTGAGGTGCTGAGGAATTGGCCCGGGGAATATATCATCGCGCAGACGACCGTTGCTTCGAAGTACCTCTAGAGCGCGAAGGCCGGAGAAAGCACCTGATCGTAGGTGGTCGAACGCACGCCCGTATACAGGATCATTCCTCTCGACTTCAATGAGCGATAAAGTGCCGATCTGCTGTGGCCGTTGTAACACGAGGTCGAGCGCCTCTCGTCGTGCGGCGGTGTGAACGGCGTCCAAATGGCCGCGTAAGTTGACACGAAGTGGAACATTGCGACACCGGGATAGGAACTCTTGTGCGATGACCACGTTCTGGAGAGGCACTATCTTCCAGAGGCCTTGCGCGGCATTGACTGTATCCCGCCATTGACGACACACCCCGCGGAGACGAAGAGCTGGCGGTTCAGCGCCGTCCTTGTCTTCGAAATGCTTGCGGACCACGAAGGTGAAGATCAGCACCAGCATCTCAAGTGGGAGCGCTTGTATACGTGGCATTTCCTACAATTTTGCGTCAGATATCGTGTCCCAGAACACCACTGATCATAGGACACTCACCGATAGGCAGTTGTGCGCGGGACTTCGAGTTTTGATCAAATTTGATCACCGAGGGGCAAGGGCAAACACGATGAGATCCTTCAAGATATCATTGCCATTTATATGCATGAGAACAAATGTCATATTCCAGGAACGAGGAGTCGGAGACCACAGCTACCACACTTTGTTCGCCCCTTGTGGTGGTTGAAGCCAAGAGGCGATTCTCACGTGCAACTTGCCCCTTCACCGCCATGAGACCCAGCACGAACTCCGCTGCACAATGGACATCCGATCTATATTCCTACGCTGATCAACCTAATTCGAACTTGCTCTGCTGTATATGCCAGTACGTCAGTCTCGACCGACTAGTGGAAAGTATTGTCTCAATGTTCATCAGGTACCCATTCGTAGAGCCAACGACCACACGGACCTGCGCACACACCTTCTGCCGCAACTGCATTCTACATGCCCTGCAAACTTCGCCCCATTGTCCCATTGATCGGTCGCCCTTGAATTCGGAGAATCTTGGTCCGGCCACGCCAATTATCCGAGATGTACGTCGATAACCGCCGTGGCGACGAGCATCTCGCTCACAGCACTTGCAGATGGTCGACGAGCTTGTCGTTCGATGCAGTAACGAGGCAAAGGGGTGCCCTGCACGAATTCAACGTCAGCTTCTGAAGACTCATATCCGGGAGGACTGTCAGTACGCTAGCGTACCATGTCCAGATCAGCAGTGCACGTTACCCGTCCAGCGACGGCGCGCTCGGACTGGTCAATGCACGCATGCGCGAGATAGCCTAGAGCTCGAGGGCGTAAGTCCATATATACATGCGTTGTACCAACTGTCTCACAGGGAGTAGGATGATGCGCCCATAGCCTCCAGTTCTACCACGTGCGCAAACTGCTCGAAGCATTTGCCATCCGCCGAAGCCCTCGCAAAGCACATCGACGAATGCGCCTCTTGCCCGCATTTATCTCACGGCTGCTCCTGGCGCGGTCACGTCGATGAGCTGAATGATCAACACATCAACTCATGCCCATATGGAAGACTCGAGGGCTTCTTTACGATACATGACTCTCGCGCTGCTCGCTTGGAAGAGGAGAACCAGGTGCTGAGGATACGCTTGGATGCGACCGAAGGTCTAGTTCGCACACTACTCGCCGACATGGCTGCGTTGAAGTCGTCTCTTGGCCCGTTCTTCTTGGCAGATGTACCTGCGCAACCTGCACTACAGCCCGAACCTTCGCCCTCTGGCTTGTTGGGCAGTCCTGCCATGCAGCATGAACAAGCAAATACGTCTCCGCGAAACTCAGCCGACATTGCAAGCTACTTCCCCCCCGCGTTGCCTTCGAGCCCAACATATGCGGATACGCAACCTGCTGTCGCTTCACCCGGAACAAGTCCTCGCTCTGATTCTGACGCTGCACCACGTCCAACCCGGAATCCACCCCAACCTATACCATTACACAAACACGTATCCTCGTTAATCAGCTCTATGGACGCTCTGATCGGAGACCAAGAGGCATATCGACGAGATACGGACGCAGCGCATGCTCAACTCGTCAATGAGGTCGGCGCGCTCCGTGCCACAGTGGGTGGCTTGCGAATGTACACGAGCGAACTATCGCAAACAGTGGGCGCTCTTGTGGCGGAGAGAGGCGGCCTACCGGATGATGGCGGTGGACTAGGTGGTCCACCCGTGGGTTCGTTACCGTGGCTGGGACGAACGTATGGATCACCGTCGTACGGGCCCGGATTTTCTCATCCTGGTCCACTAGCTCCTCCTTTCACTATGTCGCCTCCGTCCTCTGTACCAGTCAAACTATAGGTGGACGTGCACTATATGCTCATAGCCACGTTTACATATACATCATCTGATTTGATCCGCACTCTGGATCTTTGAGATTTCGGGCCGTTGTTACCCAACATCTACGCCACTGCGCTCATGACAGCGAGCAAAAGCCTTTCGCCTGCGCCGAAATACCCGTTCAACCAACTGTATGTGTCTGTCAAGACCCTCTCCATCATCTTCCGAGCCACAGCGGACGCGAGCCACACCGGGGATGACTGAAAGATCACTCGAAGGACAGCCATCAATCTAGTTGTGATAGCCCGAACGCGGTCGGGAATGGACGCCCGTCTGGAAGTGCTCACCAGGATGAGTGCTTGGTGAGTCCGGACATTTGCGACTTCATCGGGAGATGATGCCAGGGCTAACATAGCAGTCGTCTTCGTGGCGTACGTATAAAGACCCATATGAAGCCATACCCAGTCACGTCAGTTTCGTCGCTCTCCTGTCTCTCATGGGGTTCTACGACCAGGTCGTTCTGCCAGGAACGGCACTCCTTGGGTCTTTATACCCGTCTTCTACTGTTGATCTTGGCTACGCGACATACGCCGCTGCCAACACCAGTCTGACACCGGGCGTGACGAGTTTCCTTGGGATTCGTTATGCCGCCCCGCCTACAGGCGAGCTGCGTTTCAACGCACCTCAAGCGCCTCATGTTGTCGAGGACGTACAACAGAGCGCGATGCCACCGCCGTGCTATGGGGGTGCTGCATTCGGGCTTGCGACCGAGCCCACATTCTACAACGCGGGCGGCAAGGCCGCGAATGTATCTACGCTCAACCCCTTTGACATCGCGGACGGGTCGAGTGAGGATTGTCTCTTTCTGAAGTATGTGAATCCAGCCCTGGAATGTGGGCTTGATGGCTGACTATAATCTTACAGCATACATGTGCCAGACTCGCTCAAGCTCGAGGGCAATACGTCGGTCCCAGTCCTTGTATGGATCCATGGCGGCGGGTACATCGGAGGTAGTCATATGATGTACCCAGCCGAGAACCTCGCGCGTAACGCGCATGGCGGGTTGGTCGTCGTCAGCGTACAGTACCGCCTTGGCCCATTCGGCTTTCTCGCTGGCAAAGACGTCAAGGAGGGCGGTGCCTTGAATGCCGGCCTGCTTGATCAAGAGCTCGCGTTGAAGTGGGTGCAGAAGCATATCACAAAGTTCGGCGGCGACCCGGATCGTGTGGCCATCTTCGGAAACTCGGCAGGTGCGGGCTCGGTGCTGCAACACGTCGTCGCGCACGCAGGCAATACGCAGCCTCCGCTCTTTCGCGCTGCGCTCGTCAGCTCGACCTTCTTACCTAGTCAGTATGCGTGGAATGACCCTGTGTCGGAGGCGCTGTATCGGACCATCGCGAAGGAAGTGGGGTGCACGGGAGAGGGCGTGTTGAGGTGTCTACGCGCAGTGGACCCTGGTGCGCTTACCCTCGCAGGCGCGCGCGCGACATATGCCGGCTTTCTAGGCACCTTCTCTTTCGTTCCGGTAGTTGATGGCGCATTCATTGTTGAAAGACCGTACAAGACCCTCCAGAGGAAGTCAGTTAACGGAGTAAGTGCCACTGCTTGATCTAATCGTTTACAGCGATGCTCATACCCCATGTAGGAGATGGTTTTCGCAACCAGTACTACCGACGAGGGCTTCATCTTCGCGCCCGAGTCGATCACAACGAGCCTTGGCTTGGAGGAATACGTGAAAGGTTTGTTCCCAGCGCTCCAGGGTGAAGACGTCCGGAGGGCAGTTGAGCTCTACACCGGTTCGGGCGCGGACGTGGCATCCGCTGCATCGCAGATCATGGATGAAGGTGAGCATGCGGATCTTATGTCAGACCCTTCGCCAGAGAAGCTCACATCATCGTAGTCATCTTCTCGTGCCCAGGGTATACAGTCCTGGATGCATTTGCGGGCGCTGGGAAGCCAGCGTGGAAGGGCCTCTTCGATGTGACTCCCGCTTGGCATGGTCATGATCTGCTCTATATTTTCGAAGCGTGAGTCTGAGTTCTCGTCTAGCGGCGTATCCTTGTCTCACAAAGTGGCTAGGGAGATACATGGTATAACCGCACGGCTCATACCGCCTAGCGATACGGAATTGGGCCACGCGATGCGGGCGGCATTCATCGGCGCGGCCACAGACCTCGATCCCAACAGTCTCGCCGCTACGCCAGATTGGCCTCGTTATACGGAAGATGCTCATGTAGAGATGCTGTTCAATAGGACGCAGGATGGGCTGCAAAGCAACATGGAGGCGTTCCCGACGAACCATGCGCTCCTCGAGCGCTGCGCGTGAGTGCTCATCCTGCCGGCCGCTCTTGAAGTCCAGAAGTACTCATCTCATCTTGTCCATAGGTTCTGGCAGGGGATAGCAGATATGACTGCACAGTAGTAGCATTGTATTGTATAGCACAATGGCTCATGAAAGGGTACCCTTGGTCCACGGCCGGGCGCCCTCCTTGTATGCATTGCAACTTTCGCGAGCAGGTATCGCTGGACCGGGGTTCTCTATCGCTTTGATTGCATCGACTCGTCAGAGAGCCGAGAGACAATGAAACTTCGCAAACAGATGCGTAAGTAGTGATTATGCGTGCCATACCGCGTTTTACCTACCTTAGCCCGTGGAAGTAGGCAGCCAGCCTTGATTTTTCGGCGATATGAACGCTGACGGTCCCTTCGGCAATCAGCGCACATGTCCCACCGACTCCCACGCATCGCGAGCGGGGATGATCACGACCACGGCCCTTTTCGGTACTTTGTCAACTACCACCACTATGCTCATAGCGAGATAATATACTGCATGCGCTAGGCGGGTTGCCAAGACCGCTATCTCTACTCTTGTAATGTGATCAACGTTTTGCTGCCGGAATCACTAGACACCTCGCGATTCTGCCGATGAGAGTCGTCGTGCGGCATGTACGTCTATAGACGGATAAAATCCCGCTCCTGCCGCCGGGCCTGAACACACTCGATGGGGTTCTACGACCAGGTTGTCTTGCAAGGTAGCGCTCTGCTTGCGTCGTTCTTGTCCACGCCATCTACGGTCGACTTGGGTTACGCGACATACGCCGCAGCGAACACAAGCCTGACTCCTGGTGTCACGAGCTTTCTTGGGATACGCTATGCCGCTGCACCGATAGGCGAACTTCGCTTTAGCGCGCCACGCGCACCGAGCTACGTCGAGGGCGTACAACAGAGCGTGATGCCGCATTCCTGTTGGGAAACTCCCGCGTTTGGGCTCGCGACTGAGCCGACATACTACAACGCGGACGGGAAGGCCGCGAACATATCTGCTATGGGCGAGATTGACACGGAGGAGGAATATGATGAGAACTGCTTGTTCCTGAAGTACGCGCCAATGTCTTTCTGCAGTTCCAGACTGTACTGACGATATTTTGAACAGTATACACGTACCAGATTCTTTGAACCTTGCAGGCAACGCTTCAGTCCCAGTGTTAGTATGGTTCCATGGCGGTGGCTATATCGGAGGGAACAATCGCATGTACCCGACGGAGAACCTCGCGCGCAATGCGCACGGCGAGCTCGTGGTCGTAAGTGTGCAGTACCGCCTCGGCCCTTTTGGATTCCTTGCTGGCCATGATGTGAAGGAAGGCGGCGCGTTGAATGCAGGACTGCTCGATCAGGAGTTTGCCTTGCAGTGGGTTCAGCAATACATCTCGAAGTTCGGCGGCGACCCGCAACGTGTGGCGATCTACGGCGAATCGGCCGGCGCAGGCTCTGTACTTCAGCATGTCGTCGCGCACGGCGGCAATACGCAACCGCCTCTCTTCCGTGCAGCGCTCGCTAGCTCGTTCTTCCTCCCAAGTCAGTACGCATGGGATCATCCGGCGCCCGAAGCTCTGTACCATACCGTGGCGAAGGAAGTCAACTGCACGGGCGACGATGTACTACCCTGCTTGCGCGCGGTTGACTCTCAAGCATTGGCCCTCGCGGGCGTGCATGCGATATACGCCGGGTTCTTAGGGACCTTCAGCTTCGCGCCCGTGATCGACGGCGACTTCATCGTTGAAAGACCATACGACACTCTACAGAAGCGGATAGTAAACGGTGTAAGTTCGAGACACTCCCTCAAGTGTCGCATGACTGATTGTGTCTATTAGGACGTTGTCTTCGTGATTAACAACGGTGATGAAGGGTCCCTCTTCGCGCCAGAGTCTATGACTGCTTCACTTGAATTGGCATCATATGTCAAGGGGTTGTTCCCGGCGCTTGAGCAAGTCGACATTGAGAGAGCTGTTGAACTTTACGCCGAGATCGGCGCGAGCGTTCCGAAGGCTGCTTCAAGAATCATGGGTGAAGGTGCGGTGCAAGCTAACTCGCGCCATACGTAGCTGCATCGCTCACACCTACCAAAGCGATCTTCACGTGTCCAGGATACGCGACTTCGGATGCGTTCGCAGGATCTGGGAAGAAGGCTTGGAAGGGTCTCTTCGACGTCCCTCCCGCTTCGCATGGCAGTGATCTGGTGTATATCTTCGATCAGTAAGCCGGCATATTCTGCGCCGGATATGAAGACACTCACCGAACGACCAGCGAGATACCTGGCATGACAGAACAGCCAATGCCGCCGAGTGACGCTGAATTGGCGCACGCCATGCGTGCAGCGGTCATCGGCGCGGCTACGTCTCTCGATCCCAACGCTCTTGGTGCTACGCCAGAATGGAGGCCTTACAAGGAAGATGCCCATGTGGAGATGCTATTCAATAGGACGACAGATGGATCGGGGACGTATATGAAGACATTCATGACGGACGAGGCGCTTTTGGAACGCTGCGAGTGAGTGCTATGATACTTTGTGCCTGTACGCACTGCTTACGACCCATCTCCCATAGATTCTGGATTCAAAGAGGAAATAAGACGGCACAGTAGTTGCATTGGTTACAAGACCCCATACAACCATGTATATGTGCCAACAATTCATCTTTCTGTGCCCACCGGAGACCTCGTATTACATTCTTTCCCAGCGTTGACACGCGCGTCTCGATCTGGGCGCAGATGAGCCATGTACCTCAGCGGTCCGTCGAAGTTCATGGCAAGATCTCAGGACTCAAGCGCATATCCAAAAGAAACCGGTGATAGGCAGTGCATTATAAGGCTAATGCGTAGAGCGCAGGTGGTGGTCTGGAGATAAGTTGCGCGGGCGGCCGCGCCGGCCTATTCTGGCGTATCGCTTTGGTATCGCTTCTTTCGAATGTCCGTCTAACCTCTCTGGCTGAATGATACTTGCATCAGCGATCCAAAGCGAGTCCCGCTTGCTGCTGAGACGATCCCTCATCGCAGTTTCCTGGGTTCCAACAAAGATTGAATTGCGAAACGTCTACTATACATGGAAACGGGCTTCGCTCTTCCTGCTGTTCCTTCACACTCCCAACATACGAACGTGCGCTGCGTGTATGAACAATAGGAACAGTTTTGATTGCGATGTATACGCGTCCAGTACAAGTATCCACTCGGCGTCACTGTTGTGCTTGGATTGGAGGGATCTTGACTAGTATGCGCTTGAGCCGCTGCCAGCTGTTGAACATGTAGGAGTGTTGGGCTTCTCCCGCGTCCACATCACGATATCCATCCTACACACGACTACGCTCGAGCTGTACGGATACCTCACACTGTACTCGGACATGTCGGCCAGTCCACTTGTCCAGCTCTTCGGCTGTGCTCTTGTACATGGGGATGCCGGAGATGAAAAGGAGGTCCTGCATGCACTTGCATCGCCGTTATTCTCTTGCTTGCCATGCCGCTGCCTCGTTCTCGTTCGCGCCGTGGATGATCAATTCGCCTGGGATATCGATATCATTGCGTCGAGTCACCCTCCAAAGCGCATATACTGCATGGTGCACCGCCTATCATGTCTGTGGGCCGCGCCTGGGACTTCTTGGAAGGTTGTATGCGCGAATAGAAGGCTACGGACGTCCACCGTGATACACGCACACCGATAGAAGCACCGCGCGATATCCGCCGTCCGCCTGTGCGCGAACGCAATGCACGTTCTCGTAGGAGTCTACACTCAAGGTTCGTCAGGGTTCGTATCTCATTCATAGGCTGTTCGGCGTTCAGTGTTGAATTATGAACCATCTCGTGCGGCAACTTACCTCAAGACTCTGTAGCAGGATTACGTCAGTCGTGCCAGATGCCAACGAACTGTATTGCAAGCCCATCGCCCCGCCCTTCGATGTCAATCAAGGTCGACACGCCCTCGACGACGCGCTGCCAGACCAAATCTTCCCGTCGCGTCCAAACTCGGAAAGCCCGTGTACGCCCGGAGATCCCGCCTTCACAGTTCAAAGCTTCGCCATCTCCCGTATCAGCGTTATGTTTTGATGCAGTTGCGATAGCGGTGGGAGAAGAACGTCGTGCCGAAGCGGGGAGTCATGTATTCCGAGCAGTCTCTTCTGAGTCCGAATAATACACCTGGAAAGGTCAGAATGCCGGCGCGATCCCGCTCCCGGAGGGACTACGCCACACCCAGGCACTCCGAGCCCACAGTCCGTATCGCCATTCGTTCTTGGCCTGATATGGCAACGTCCGAACACATGTTATGGTGCTGATGGACTTGTATTGCGGGGCTGGAGGGATCGCAAAGGACGCATGATGACTCGCGCGTCCGTCATCGTTGAGAAATGTTAGGGAGGTCTTGGGCTTGGCACTACGCCTCGCGGTCCGAGAGATGTATGCTCGTCCTAGCCTGCCACGATGCGCGTGTTGAACATGCGATCAGCGCCGCCCGAGGTTGGTGTGAGCGGAGGCAGGCAGAGGCGCTGGAAGTGGCAGCGATGGAAGCGTCGAATGGAATGCAGAGGGCGCACGAACCTGTACATACGCGGTAAGGGATTCAGGAAGAAGAGCTGCGCGCGACGCCCGCCGCCATTACGCCCTTCCGCGCTCCCGTTCGTAGTTGTCACCGGATACTGCCTAAGAGAACTGAGTAGAGACGCATGACCATGGCGACTGTCGACCTGACCACAGGGAGATGACGGAGTCGATCCTCGTTTGTGTTCATCGCAGCCGGAACCGGAGCCGATGTCGGCGGAAGAAGCCAATCGTCGATCCATACGCGCCCATAACCTTCGATCTTCGCTCGAGTACAGTTGTAGCGTTTCCCACTTGCCGGGCGCCCAACAATCCAAATGGTCCTACGCGCTCCAGTTCGGCAGGCGAGGAAGATAAGGAGAGAGAAGACAAAGAAAAGAGCATATAGCACAAGCCAGACGAGAGTACCACATAAGGCATAATGGGGACTAGTACGAAGGGGGCTGCGGCACGCATGTAGGGTAAGAGTAGCGTACTCGGAGCCGACCAGACGCGATCGACGGGGCCGTCTGTCGCGCGCGATGTGCAGACAACGAACAGAGAAACCAAGATCAGCAAGCCGTGGCGTGAGCTCGAGACGCGGGGAGTGTATGGATGATGGAGGGTACTACAAGTGTATGTAAAAGCCATAGCGATCCCCGACCCCGGCCCAAATGCGCCCGAATGAGGAATGCGGGGCGCCTAGCTGTATGTAAATGCGATGAGGAAGGAAATGAGGATGGTAGTACAATATACAGGGGGACCGAGACAAACGAGAAAAGATGAGAGAGAAAAGTTCGCAACAAGAACGCAGACAAGATGCACAGATGCAGACGCACAGACTCAACAAGCCAAGAACCGAAAGCAAAAGCCAATATACCAACTCGAGCGAGCTAGTAAGGTATACCCCATTGGGAGGAGGGCCAATCGCGCATAGCAAGGTCCTCTTTCGAGACGGCGTAGCCGTACGGCGGCGGCGCAAGACCCGGCGTCGAACGCGGCGTGCTGACGCTGCCCTCGCTGGATTCGCTCGCGCTCGGACTGACACTCAGGCCGGGCGTCCGCACGCCAGCGGGGGACGCCATGCTCGCCAGGCTCATCATCGACATTGATGGCATGCTAATGCCGGGCACAAGCGCGCGCACCGGTACCGGATTCGCGATCAGCGTCGGCATAGACATCAGCATCATCGGCGCCTGAGCCGATGCCTGAGGCAAGAGCGTGGGGAGCGTGCTGCTCCTGCGAACACTCCTGCCATCCGGAACAGGCATACGACCTGCCATGGCGCTAAGGTCCGGCTCGGTTGTGGCGCGACTGAGCGGGCGTTGCTGCTGGATCTGCGCCGAGGCCTTGCCGACCCATAAGCGCCAACCCAGAGCGTCGCCGAGCGCGCGCTCGCAACGGCCGATCTCGCGCGGCGGGAGTCCTGCTAGCTTGGCCCATGCACGATTCGAATAGCATTTGTCCTGCGAGAACTTGCTCGCGAGAACCAATGCTGCGATGAATGTGCGGCGTGGGTCAAGTAGGGGGGAGGGGAGATCCGGTGCCGGCGGCAGCGTCGACGTTTCGGTACGTGGCTTCTTCCCGGGCGGACCGGGCTGCCATAGGTCGACAGGCGTCTCAGGAGTCTCGCGCGTGGCCGGTGGCGGGATGCTCGCGTCTTCAGCGTCCTCCTCGACGTAGCCGATGTCGGCAGCGAGGACGATGCGGTCGGACTGGTCGGCTTCACGGTGCCCGCAGCCGGCGGCCTCGGCGGCAGCGAGCTCTGGGATCTTGGCTCGGATAGCCTCGATGTAGCACAGAGCTGACTGAAATATGCTTGTAGTTGTCCGCGAGCGCTTGAGGACGTCGATGACGAAGCCGCGAAGGTTGGCCGCGTTTGCGGCCGGGTCGTGCTCGTCAAAGGCGTCGCCGGCGGTGGCGCCGTCGTCGGGGGAAGTCGGGGGCGATGGGAGCTGGGTTGGCGGCGGCGGGG